ACGCACACACACACACACACACGCACACGCACCCACACACACACCCACACACACACACATGCTCATGTACATACACACACACACAGTAGTTCATGTGCACACCCCTAGCCTATTCATATCACCGGTGTACACCTGTAACCATCTAAACGAAAAATCAAGTCAAACATTCTTTTTTGGTCTCAAATTGTGCCATTCACAACCATAATTACAATTGATAATTCTATTATAAATAGAAAGAACATCCTGCACTACCCAAATTTTTTAGCAATTTTGGAAGATAATAAGAAAGAAATTACATTTCTTTTTTTTTTAAAAGTATTTGAGATGGTAAGGTTATAGCCATATATATGGCATCATGGTGAAGTCAGGCGCTCATCAAAGTACTGAAATCTGAGAAACAAGCATGTTTCTGTCCTTTGAGCCTTTTATATTGAATATTTTTGGAGTCATCACCCCTTTTGTCAATTTGAAAACACAATTTTGTGTGGGTTTTACTTTAAAACGTTGATCAAAGGCACAAACAATGTAAATGTACTGTTTTTATTGACACCCAAGCTTTGTAAGCCACCAAACTATGGTGCCTATTTTCTCACTTATTTTGCCTCAGACACCAAGCGACCCCCACCTCCTTTATTTGCTAATATCCGGACATCTACTCAAGATAGATTGGTAATTTGAAAAAATCAAAAGTAAGACTAGTAAACAAGTTTGGACATAATGTTAATTATCCGTATGCTCAAAAATTGACGAGCGCCTGATTCCCCCTCATCACGACACATGATTTGTCCTTGACCCCCAGGGCTGGGAGGAGAACCAGAAACGGGGACAGAGTGGACAGTTTTGCTGGGAGAACTTCCTGTCTGACAACACGCTGCGGGTACGTAAATCTGTCTGCCTGTCTGTTTGTCAGTCTGTTTCTGTGTCGTACTGGCACTCTGATGTGTTTTGAACTTCTTTCGATTAGTTGGGATGATAATTATAATACCAGCAAATGGTGCAGCCCTTCTTGATATGTCTGAACATCGGGGTTTTTTTAATGTGTTTTTGCTCTTGAATCTATGACGTTGTGGCTGTGTGTGTATGTGTGTGTATTTGTATGCGTGTATGAGTAATTGTGTGTGTGTGCATGCATGCATGTGTGTGTGTGTGTATGCTTGCGGGTTTGCTCAAGTATTTTTTTTTTATGGAGCGTAATCGTAATTTTTCATTTTATCCATTTAGCATCCACCCCATATCCCTGACCCTTGTGCTTGCATGAATGGGCCCAAGTGTCTCTGTGACTAAATGTGTGTGTGTGTGTGTGTTTGCCTGCCGTTGTCATGTGTTACTCCTGCTGTTTGTGTGTTGCTCATAAGTTCTTAAGTGTTTGTTTATCAGTGTGTAGTAATGTCTGTGTCTGTGTGTATGTGTTTACCAGTGTGTAGCTGTAGTGACCATGTATGATATGTGTGCTCCAGATGCTGCGAGACATGAAGAAACAGCTGGCTGAGCTTCTCCACGACACAGGATTTGTGGCCTCACGGAATCCCAAGGATGGTCCGGCCAACATCAACAGTGGTAGGTGGTTGGCCGGTGCTCTCTTGCGGTTCACTTTTTCTTTCCTGTCAAACATCTGTCATCCTTATCTCTCCTCCTTCTTTCCTTTGGATGCTACTCTTTCGTAACTGCTCTAATCTTTGGCACTTATATGACCTGATTTTGATGCAAGTGCCATAAAACATTTACTAAAACTAAACCTGACCCATTTATGTTGAAAATTCTGTGAAACTCTTACTAAACTAAACTATAAATAGTGGTAGGTGATACCCTCTAGTACATACACAGTGACACATATCATCAAAACACAAGACCTGGCAAAGTTTGCAAAGACTTTGGGATGAATGTTTGGCAGGGGTTTATATTTTTATTTATTTATTCATTTTTTGTTTGTTGTGGGGGGGAGGGGGGGGGGGGT